TTAATCTAACAAAATCTAGATGCCAATCTAAGCGAATAAATTCTATCTATTAACTGAAACCAATTTTTTTTATCGATTACACAAGAATAGGAGAAAGGTTCTTTTTAATGTGAAATACTTGGATATACTTAAAGATTGGTCCCGTAGAAATTTCATTGTAATCATCATAAATACGTAAATTGTTTCAATGATATAAGTCCTATAAATAATTTATTTATAAAACAATAACAGGCTAGTGCTCACCGAAGCCACCGTCCCATACTCTGAAGGAAACTGAGCAGGCAAATCGTGTGCTCATAGTATAACGAGATCTATAAATAGTCGATGTTCTGTTTTCCTCGTATTTCACGGGACACGTGGTTCTCCAGGTACTATGTACCACATACATAATATGTTTATTATATGGATTAAATTTATTTAATTGTTATTTAATAATTAAATGGCAGTGGGCAGGAAACATTGCTCGTAGAACGGATGGCCGTTGGGGCCAGAAAGTTCTTGAGTGGCGACCGCGTACCGGAAGACGTAGCGTGGGTAGGCCTCCCACAAGATGTACAGACCATCTATCGAGGTTCGCGGGGATCCGCTGGATGCAGGCAGCGCAGGACCGGTCTTTGTAGAGAGGCTTGGGGGAGACCTATGGAAAGCAGTGGACGCCTGTGGGCTCATAAGAAGAAGAAGATATCTATGTGTATATATAAATATGAATTGCTGTTCGTTAGTCTCGCTAAAACTCGAGAGCGAGTAAAAGAACACACAGACATAGCCCAATGAGTTTCTCGCCGAATCTTCTCAGTGGGTCGCGTTTCCGATCCGGTGGTAGATTCTGCGAAGCACTGCTCTTGCTACGGCTAGTGTTAGCAACGTCATCAGGTTTGAGCCCCGTGAGCTCACCTACAAATTTTGCGAATCTGGTATAATCCCTCGAGGTTACTAGGATAGGTAGGAACAATAATCTACATATATAAAAATGAATTGCTGTTCGTTAGTCTCGCTAAAACCCTAGAACGGCTGGACCGATTTGGCTAATTTTGGTCTTGAATTATTTGTGGAAGTCCAGAGAAGGTTTAAAAGGTAGCTCGGAATTAAATAAATATAACAATTTTGTTTTGCCTTTTGATGTGTCCCCCGCCGGACGGATTTCTTTTGTTTGTTTTAAGTTTATTTTATACAAAAGTTTAGGTCTTTTATTTATCGATTGAGGCACTGCGAAGTCTGCCGGGTCAGCTAGTATTATATAAATTATTTATATATATAGAAGCCATCGCATTATTGATGCCATCGTCAGACATCATAGGGGCGAATAGCTAGGGTGATCGAGCTAAGTGAAATAGCGGTTACACAAAACACATTTGTCGTCTTATAACAATTTAGCAGTCTTATCTTGACGTTAGCAAACGAAAACGAATAACAGTGGTTAGGACGGAGGCACCGCTCTTCAAGAAGGTTGGTTGGTAAGTGAGTCGCGTCTATGCGCCCCTCCATCGGCTAGGCTCTGTCGTAGCGCGAAGTTAGCCGAGTTCCGACGACATTATGATCGTGTTGCCACCTCTCGGGAATCGTGCTGCGCTTGGTTTTGCTACCAAACTAATGACCCCCTCCGACATATATATATTATATAAAAGTTTTGTTGTATTCATGACTGTTGCGTGGCATTCGTATGTACACAATAAAATATCACGTTTCTAAAAAGGAATGCGTGAAAAGAAAATGGGTTGACACACAGAACACAAAATGGTTGTCAACTGGACACTCATGTAAGCACCCAAATTCTTTTGAAAAATAGAGAAAAAAGATTCAAAATAGAATTATTGACAACCCTAAAATATGTGCTATTAGATGAGTTCTGTTATTCCGAGTATAATCAGATGAATTGCTTGAAATAGGACGCAGGATTTTATTGCCTATTATGTAATTTAGATTCTGTCTATATTACATAACAGGCAGTAAGTTTCTACTGGTGTTAGGACCTCTTGTGAGTCCACGCGGGTAGGTACCACCGCCCTGCCTATTTCTGTCGTGAAGCAATAATGCGTTTCGGTTTGAAGCTTAGGGCAGCCGTTGTAACTATATTGAGATCTTAGAACTCATATCTCAAGGTGGATGGCGCATTTACGTTGTAGATGTCTGGGCTCCAGTAACCACTTAACACCAGGTGGGCTGTGAGCTCGTCCATCCATCTAAGCAATAAATAAAAAAACAAAAATGTGGGACGACTTTGCTTAAGTGGTCTCCTTTTTTACGAAGAAAAAAAGTTAATAGCCTAAAATCATCAACCCAGTAACACGGGACGTGCAAAACAAACTCTTTTCGATTACCGGAATGTTCCCGAGAGGAAATTCACTGAAAGCCATAGAAATGTTTTAATATTTCATTTTGCAGCTGTTTTTTTTTTTTTGTATTCAGGTACAAAATTAATTTACCTACTTCGCCGACCGTTCGGGGAAGCCTTTTTTTATTTTTAATAAGTTTCGTAATTTCTTTTGATGTTTAGTGGGGAAAAGGTTTTGTTCATTCATAAACTTGTGTTATAAAATAACTTTTATTGGAGTAGGGACGGTATTGAGCCCGCGCGAGCGTATGCCATTGTCGCACCCCTATTGCCGCGGCAAAGCAGCTATACATTTGTATACCTTGTTTTATTGGTGTTAGGACGTCTTGTGAGTCCGCGCGAGTCGGTACCACCGCCCTGCCTATTTCTGCCGTGAAGCAGTAATGCGGTTCGGTTTGAAAGCGGGAGCCGTTGTATTATTAAAACTAAGATCTTAGAACTATTGTCTCAAGGTGGGTGCGGCCATTTACGTTGTAGATGTCTACGGGCTCCGGTAACCACTCAACATTTAAGCAATTAAAAAGTATTTATTTATACTTTACGTCCCGATTGAATTTTGAACTGAGTAGGTATTCTCTTACTAAAGTAAATGCGACTTAAGTTCGACCAAAAGTAATTACTTGGCTTGCTCGCAAGTAGTACACAAAAAAAGGTTTTTTTTTTTAAATGTAAAAGACAAAAAGTTTTCTCACAAAAATGGAATCTAAAAACGAATAATAAAGTATGTAGGTAACTGATGACGCATTATGATTTCATACTAGGTACCTTAGAATCCTTGACTTTGTCGTTATGTTAATGTTTGAATATAAATAAGGGAAATTTTGATATCGTTTGAATGTGCGCCTCGTCTGGTATGGTATTAAAGGTTACTATCGTAAAAAACTCTTAGAAATTTGATGGCCTCGCTGGTCGAGTGGTTATAGAGAGTCTGGCTACCGTAACACGGGGTTCTGGTTAGAGTCCGGTACGGATTTGACGGTCGGCAGCAGCTTGGCTCTGCCCTTGGCATTGCTAGTATTTTTTTTATTTTTTTTATTGCTTTGATGGGTGGACTAGCTCACAGCCCACCTGGTGTAAAGTGGTAACTGGAGCCCATGGACATCTACAACGTAAATGCGCCACCCACCTTGAGATATAAGCTCTAAGGTCTCAGGTATAGTTACAACGGCTGCCCCGCCCTTCAAACCGAAACGCATTACTGCTTCACGGCAGAAATAGGCAGGGTGGTGGTACCTACCCGCGCGGACTCACAAGAGGTCCTACCACCAGTAAAAAGTGTACGATCGTAAAAGCTCTTAGAAATGTAATGGCCTCGCTGGTCGAGTGGTTAGAGAGAATCCGGCTAGCGAAACACGGGGTTCTGGTTCGGAGTCCGGTATAGATGTTACGGTAGGCAGCGACTTGGCTCTGCCTCTGACATTGCTGAAGTCCATGGGCGACGGTAACTACTCACCAACGGGTGGGCCGTATGCTCGTCAGCCGACAAGGGTAATGAGAGGAAAAAAAAACCGGTTAAAGTCAGTATAATTGTGGAAGATATTCTGTTTTCGCGATCTTGGCGTGGTTAGTCTCGTCTGGTTTTCTTTCTATGACCTTACAACACGACAGGAAAACCTAGTTTAGAGTCGCGATGAATATGAAACGTCTTTTATTTATTTACTAGCGGTCCCGTTGCCGAAATTCGACTGTAAATAATTGAAATTGGTTATAAATTTGAACATTATTATGGTTCTATTGTCAAAGACTATTTTATTACACATCTGCATATAATCACAGATTTCGCCAAGACTACTTTAAAGACAAATAATATTAATCTATTCTCAATTTGACCACAGACTTGAAAAGTAAACAAAAGAGTATATATGTGTTTGTGTGTGTCAAATACATGGTAGTGTGTGTAATGTTTTTTTTATTGATTTAATGTATCTTTCATGCATTTTTTTTAATATATTAGCATTATGCACTCCTTCTCTATATTCTTTGCAAATGTGGGAAATTTGATGCTCCTCCGTCCCGCAAATATTCGTAAAAAGGGGTACCAAGTTTTTGCTTTGCCTATTAATTCAAAGATTTAGGTTCAGAAGAGGATGTGTACGCTACCTACAGAAGCCGAAGAGAAAAAAAAAACATACAATGAGTGACTCAAGTTTTTTCTTGGCTTTTGCTCGGATACTTCACTTCCTGATTATGTGTTTTAAAATTTAAAGTTCTTCGTCGTTTGATTCGCTAGCTGCTGAAGATCTACCCTTGGAGGGGTATCATTTTATTTCTTACCGCCACGTCATTAACGCAGCGATGTGGCCGAATGGAAACAAACCTCGTAGATCCGTATTTAAGTTTCGTGAACTTGTGAATGTCATTCGAACAAAAAAAATTCCAACGATATTTTTTTTTAATTGCTTATATGGGTTGACGAGCTCAATGCCCACCTGGTGTTAAGTGGTTGCTGGAGCCCATAGACATCTACAACGTAAATGCGCCACCCATGAGATATAAGTTCTAAGATCTCAGTATAGTTACAACGGCTGCCTCGCCCTTCAAACCAAAACGCATTATTGCTTCACGGCGGAAAAAGGCAGGGTGTTGGTACCTACCCGCGCGGACTCACAAGAGGTCCTACCACCAGTGTCAATATCAGTAACAACTTTTTCTTTTTTTTTTGTTACAGCGCTGTGGGAGGAACAAGAAACGCCGGAGTACGACATCGACACGGAGGACGAGAGGTGGCTGAAACAGCAGAGGCACCCAGAGCTCACAGGTATCGGTCCGGTCGAGGTAAACCAATGATAAAACCAATGGAAGATGACGCTTGTGTCATCGGGTTTTTAGAACAACTCGGAACAATAACAGAGGCCAAACTATAATTGTTTTCACATGTTACTTCTTATTCGGTACAAGTGGAACGCGATCATGCGATCCTTCCGATCCACTAACGGTGCTTTTAGGTACCTCAAGCACCGGTCAACGTTCTCGTCGAACCCGTCGCTTGCGACCCACAGACACAGCCCACTGAGTTTCTCGCCGGATCTTCTCAGTGGGTCGCGTTTCCGATCCGGTGGTAGATTCTGCGAAGCACGGCTCTTGCTAGGGTTCGTGTTAGCAACGTCATCAGGTTTGAACCCCGTGAGCTCACCTACTAGTTTAGGTTACGCTGAAATAGCCTCTCAAGGTCCTCAGCTTAGGTAGGAAAAAAATATATTGAAAACCGGGCAGACGACTATTTTGTTTGAAATTCAAGCGATTATTAAAATAAAATAAAAAACTTTCTCCTTTGACAGAGCTGAAGTTCGAACAAATGATGGACAAGCTCGAAAAGTGCTCGGGACAAACCGTAGTCACGCTGAGCGAGGCGAAACTACTCCTGGAGCGGAATGATGATCTGGTCATCGCGGTGTACGACTACTGGTTGAACAAAAGGCTGAACACGGTGAGTCCTTAACTCCTTAAGTAACCAAACTTTTACGTACAATCAGGAGACTAGGTGAGTCCGCACGGGTAGGTACCACCGTCCTGCCTATTTCTGCCGTAAAGCAGTAATGCGTTTCGGTTGGAAGGGTGGGATAGCCGTTGTAGCTATACTTCAGACCTTAGAACTTATATCTCGAGGTGGGTGGCGCATTTACGTTGTAGATGTCTATGGGCTGCGGTAACCACTTGACACCAGGTGGGGTGTGAGATCGTCCAACCATCTAAACAATAAAAAAAATTTTTTATTAATCTATGGTTAACTAGTCGTTTATTTTGACCACGAATGACGTCACTAGGAATGAAGTGGTTCCTATGGTGCTTCCTTCCTTACTCCTTCGTTTCCTACTTACCATTATTACCAGATGATAATTTTCTTACGAACCCAACGAGGAATATCCTAAATTTATGAAATTGTTATTTTTTAAAGCTTACATTGAAATATTCTAGATATTTTTATTTATTGGTTATATGGATGGACGAGCTCACAGCCCGCCTGCGGAACTCACAAGAGTTCCTACCACCAGTAATTACGCAAAGCATAATTTTGCGGATTTAACATTAATTACACGATGTTATTCCTTCACCGCGGAAGTCAATCGTGAACATTTGTTGAGTACGTATTTCATTAGAAAAATTGGTACCCGCCTGCGGGATTCGAACACCGGTGCATCGCTACATACGAATGCACCGGACGTCGTCTTATCCTTTAAGCCGCGACGTTTCTTTTCGGTATTTTTAATACATACGTTTTTATTAGCTTCAGTCAGACGTATGTATGTAACGGAATCTTTGAACATGATTTTGACGCCCTTCAAAACGTCGGATTAACTCGAAATTTGGTTTACTTCTTAAGGACCGGTGACAATTCCATATTTAAAAAAAAATGAAAAAATATAATTATAAAAATTTAAATTCAACAAAATAAAATATATATATAGTTTTAAAAAACTAACAAAATACGCTTTTATAGACAATCCAACTAAAAAGTAGAAAATAATTTTTCATAAATTTGAATTAAAAATAATGTAAGAATAAAATGATTTATTGTAAAAAAAGCATGGGGTGCATGATATCAGTATGTAGCTATAAATATTTTATGAACAGATATGAGTAGAAGGGTTATTTTGATAATATCCTGAAAAGCAACCCACGCTTTTTTTTTACAATAAAACTATTTTTAATTCAAATTTATTAAAATGTGCTTTTTTTGTAAAGTTTTAATGTGATGTTTGCGAATGCAGCAACATCCCCTCGTGTTATCGGTGAAGACGGAGCACCGGCCCGGCCAGTCATCGAACAATCCTTACTTGGCGTTCAGAAGACGGACTGAAAAGATGCAGACCAGGAAAAACAGGTGGGACGATTAGCCCTAAAACATAATCCATTAGAAGAACATTTGTATAAAGTAGTGGCCCCGCAGTAGTCGAAATTCGACTATGTATAATTAATTGAAATTATAAGTTTGAACAGTATCTATATTGATATATAAATCTACAGTGGTTTTTACGGATGTTCCGTTATAACTACTGAACCGTTCATCAGATTGACTTGAAACTTGTTATCCATGTAGAAAATACATATACTTAATGGATAGGCTAATATTTATATGAGTGTTGGACTCCCTACACCAGTTGCAGGGGCGTTAATGATGAGAATCTTTGTGGGGGTGAGAAATAATAATCTTAAATTTTAAATGCCCAGCCAAACGGACGGGTCACCTAGTTATAGTTATATTGCAAAGACTTCAATAATCACAGATTTCGCCAAGACTACACTATAGACAAATAATATTAAAGATAAACAATATTATCCTATTTTGAATTTGACCACAGACTATAAGCTGATAGGCTGAATCAGGTGGACAAGAATCATTCGGAAACGAATTACTCGCGCTGTACCAAATTTTTTTTCCTACCTAAGCTGATAGCCTTGAGAGGCTATTTCAGCGTAACCTTAACTAGTGGGTGAGCTCACGGGGCTCAAACCTGATGACGTTGCTAACACGAACCCTAGCAAGAGCCGTGCTTCGCAGAATCTACCACTGGATCGGAAACGCGATCCACTGAGAAGATCCGGCGAGAAACTCGGTGGGCTGGGTTAATTTACTCGTCGAGCCCTTCGTCGCAAGCGACGGGTTCGACGAGGATGTTGACCGGTGCTTGAGTCAAATCAAATCAAATCAAATCAAAAATTTTTTATTCAACATAAATGAAAGTACATACTTGTTGAACGTCAAAAGAACTACCGCCAATTCACAAGAACTAGCCTCCGTCCTGAGAAGAATTGGCAAGAAACTCAGCGGGCATGTTTTTTTTTTTTTTTTTTTTTAATAAATTGTAGTACCTAAAAGCTCCGTTAGTGAATCGGGAGGATCCGAAATGACGTGTTTTGGACGACGTCGACTGCTTACCATTCTGTCCGCAGGATCGGGAATGTAGTTACCGGCGGCCACGATGAAAGGGTTCTCGTGTCGTGCCGCTTTATCGAAGTGGTGCTGTACCAATTCAGTGATACATACATACATACATATACACACAAACATAGGTACATACATATAAACAAACATTACTCTTTGCACAGGAAAAACGACGAGAGCTCGTACGAGAAGATGCTGAAGCTGCGTCGCGACCTGGCGCGCGCGCTGAGCCTCCTCGAGCTGGTGGCGCGGCGCGAGCGGGCCAAGCGCGAGCTGGTCCGCCTCACCGCGCTCGTCGCCGACCGGAGATACGCCGCCGGGGACTTCGCCAACCTCGTGCCGGACCCGCCCAGGTAACCTCCCCGTTTGTGTTTCCTTACACCGGTGGACGGGCTCACTAACAACGGTAACCACTGGAGCCCATAGACATCTACAACGTAAATCTGCTCTGAGGATACCGTCATCTGGTTTTTACCATCGCACCGCCCGCCACCGGAGTAGAGTTCATCCGTACTACCTGGAGCCACTGCGGTCGTCCACAGTGCGTTTTCAGAGGTCTTTTTTGCCACGCACCATCCGGCTTTGGAATGAGCTCCCCTCCACGGTGTTTCCCGAGCTCTATCACAAGTCCTTCTTTAAAAGAGGTTTTTGGAGAGTATTAAGCGGTAGGCAGCGGCTTGGCTCTGCCCCTGGCATTACTGAAGTCCATGGGCGACGGTAACCACTCACCATCAGGTGGGCGGTATGCTCGTCTACCTACAAAGGCAATAAAAAAAATGCCGTCACCCACCTTGAGATATGAGTTCTAAGGTCGCAGTATAGTTATAACGGCTGCCCCGCCCTTCAAACCGAAACGCGTTACTGCTTCAGAAATAGTCAGGGTGGTGGTATCTACCCGCACGAACTCACAAGAAGACCTACCACCAGTAATTACGCAAAATATAATTTTGCGGGTTTGATTTTTATTACACGATGCTATTGCTTCACCGTGGAAGTCAATCGTGAACATTTGCTGCCCTTAATATCGCTCACTGTAGCCGCAATAGAAAGTATAATTCGAACTAACTAAACCAACGTTATATCCGTTGAACAGGTCCGCATACACCGCCGTGCCGCTGGCGCCGAGCAACTTCCGCCGCGAGACGTACTGCGTCCCGCACTATCCGCCCCGCGCCACCGCCGCCCCCGCCGACCAGCCCAGACAGGTAACGCTCACGCTTGTTGTTGCCCTAGGACACATGTAGTAGGGACATATACATAAGACTGATAAACCAGTCCATTATAGAACATGGAAATATCGGGTGGTACCACATTAACCCGGTTCTGATAATTTGACTAGGTAGTTGGAAATTTAAAAGGCATTATGCAAGTGCCAATAACAATGTTGAGATTGAATGAAACTGGTTACGTTTACTTGCCTTGGCCTAGTGGAACAGAACTAAGGTCACTCAGATGTCGATGTCCTTATGAGCCCCGCGTGCTATGTCGTGTGCGTTGGGGGGAGGGGGGTGCTTAGTTAGGCCGGCCGGTGCGGTCGGGTGGTGTATCGCGCGTGCGGATGCAGTGACGTGTGTTACGTTCCAGCGCGAGAAGCGGCCCTACAAGAGACGGAAACACCGACATCAAGCCGCCGCTGCGCATCCGGTGCGAGGTGAGTCCGACTGAAGCACACACCGGCGACCTACAGATAGAGACGAGCGCCTCGTTGTAAACTCGACAGAAATACATCTCTATATATCTATATATATATATATATATGTACTGGGTGCTAAGAAACCGCTTCCGAAAATGAAGACAGACTGGTGGTAGGACCTCTTGTGAGTCCGCCCGAGTAGGTACCACCACCTTGCCTATTTCTGCCGTGAAGCAGTAATGCGTTTCGGTTTGAAGGGTACGGCAGCTGTTGTAACTGTACTTGAGACTTTAGAACTTACATCTCAAGGTGGGTAGCGCGTTTACGTTGTAGATGTCTATTGGCTCCAGTAACCACTTTACACCAGGTGGGCTGTGAGCTCATCCACCCAACTAAGCATCAAAAAAAAAGACGATAGTACTAATGACACCTTTGATGATGGAATGAAAAAAAGAAACTCATATTTTTAAAACGTTTATTAGCATTATTTACTCTCCATCATGTTCAATCATGTCCAAAACCAGCAATGAAACACAAAATAAAAACAGCTGATGCTCGGGTCAACGAACGTCTGGGCGCGGCGTTTCTCTTACACGCATACCGGCGCGGCGCTGATATCGCGCTCCCCAAAATTTACTTGGTTTACTATCGTCTGTCTTCGTTTTCGGAAGCGGTTTCTTAACACCCAATATACATAAACAGCTACTCGTGGACAGTCGAGTTATTATAATTATAACAATAGTAATGAATAAAAAACAAATTAATACACTTTTGGAGGGTATTTGAATATTTTATCGGATTTGTGGGTAGAATTCATTCATGCAGAAAGTAGAAATTTGATACCGCCAGTCAAAAGTTATCAGTAAATACGTATTACTCATTAATTAATATTAACAATGTGACCACTAGAGTATATATAACGCAAAAAAAACAGATCATTAGCGACGGAGATACCGTTAAAAATACATTAAAAAACTCTACAGTCGTAACATTAAATTTCACAGTTTTTAAGGCTGACAATAAATAAAATATATTTATTACTTTATACTAACAAAGTGATCATCAATCCAAAACATCAAGGATTGACAAAAAGTATATGACAAATGTGATTTTAATTATAGGTACAAATGACAGTGCAATAATTGACAATTTTTTTAATTAAAAAAGATGAATAATCGAATAAAAATACAATGAAATGTTATAAATCATATAAAATCCAGATTAACACATTTTCACAAAGTAACAAAAATTATAAAAATTACACCTAATTAGAGAAAAAACATAAATAAATCTAGATTGCATTTGATAACATTAATTTTGATTATGTTTTATTTAATAGGGAAATAATCATCGCCAGATTTGTCCTGTACGAGACAAAAAAAAAAATCTGTGTCATGGCATAGAATTAGTTCAGAGCAAACGGAAAATGAACATAATGACAATTATTGACATGGAACGATTCATTATATAACAAATTCAATTAAACTATTACAAAAAAAAAGTTAAGTGGTACTATTTCCATGACTAATATAGATCTTAATATATTGTTGTTTCACTGTTTAATTAAAAACAGGTAAGCTACTGTTTACCTAAGCGATAACATTAAAAATGACAACTATGAAATTATATTTTACTATAATTCAAAAAGCCCGCAATGTATTACAAAGTTAGGTAGATGCGTAAAAAATGAGCAATTGCAACCAAATAACATTAAAAGAGTAAATAAAACATATTGTTAATATTTCGAATTTACAAATTGTTTTCTCATACTCACCCTTTTATCATATACGTAATGATGACGAATTATAAACTATTCCTCTTCATTAGTAAAGGGAATCGATGTTGATCTATGAAATATCTTTAAAAAGTAATTTTCGGTTATGTTACAGAGTCCGGTGTGTACACGTCTTCTGAAGAGGAGGCCAGCACCCGCGCCGACACCGCGTCGCCTCCAGACGACGGACCCTTCGCCTTCCGACGGAAACCTGGCTGCTACTACGAGATGGTGCGCTCTCGTCATGTTGTACTCTTGCAGTGGAACTCAGGGTCGACAGCATTGGGGCACCTACTAACCTCAAGCACCGGTCATCGTGCTCGCCGAACCCGTCGCTTGCGACGAAGGGCTCGACGAGTAAATTAACCCACAGACACAGCCCACTGAGTTTCTCGCCGGATCTGGACGAGCTCACAGCCCACCTGGTGTTAAGTGGTTGCTGGAGTCCATAGACATCTACGACGTAAATGCGCCACCCACCTTGAGATATAAGTTCTAAGGTCTCAAGTATAGTTACAACGGCTGCCCCACCCTTCAAACCGAAACGCATTACTGCTTCACGGCAGATATAGGCAGAGTGGTGGTACCTACCCGCACGAACTCACAAGAAGACCTACCACCAGTAATTACGCAAATTATAATTTTGCGGGTTTGATTTTTATTACACGATGTTATTCCTTCACCGTGGAAGTCAATCGTGAACATTCGTTGAGAAACGTATTTCATTAGAAAAATTGGTACCAGCCTGCGGGATTCGAACACCAGTGCATCGCTACACACGAATGCACCGGACGTCTTATCCGTTAGGCCACGACGACTTCTTCTCTCATTGTCCGTCTCTGGATGATGTTTCGCCATCTTCCTCTGTTCTCGACGGTGTGTGTGTGGCATCGTAGACTGTGGTATCTAGAGTGGCGCGGATTACATGTGCAGGAAATTGGCACATTAATGAAAAACTAAAGTAATATACAATTTAACGGCCGTCTGGTGTAGTGGTAAGTGACATGGTCACTACACAAGGGGGTCGCTGGTTCGAATCCCGCCAAGGGAAGGTATTTGTATGATAAATATAAATGTCTTTTCCAGGGTTATGGATGTATATTAAATATATGTATGTGTATAATAAAAATCTTACATTTATATCCGTTATCTGGTACCTGTAACACAAGTTCTTTACGAACTTATCACGGGACCAGTTAACGTGGCGTGATTGTTAGTAAATATTTATTTATTTAATTATAAGAGATCGATGCGTTGTTTCAGCCTACGTCTACGTTGTGCGGTGACCCTGTGGACCCGGAGAACCCCAGAGACGGCCTGTTCGAGCATGAAGTGGACGAGCGCTATAGGTGCGGACACAAGGGCAATAAAAAAATAAAAACCATCGCTCCGAACGTATACTGTTCGCAGTACACATGATGCTGTAGTGGTTGGAGTCTATGACCGCTGGGGCCAGGGTGGACACGCTCACGGCCACACATCTCTTGTATTGTATTTCCGTTATCTGACAATAGATGGCGTTGTACTTCTCGAGCGTTCTAGGTGCTACTAGATCCTTCGATATTCGTTCGACTATTCGGCGATAAATGGCGTTACTTTTACCGACGTAACAATATTACCACTGACTCACACGGTCAGTTGGGTTGGAAACCTTTGCCCAACAGTGGACGTTTGTTGGCCAACCCTTAAATTCCGAAAGACAGTCGCCCTTAGACGTCAACAACCTAAATGTTATCACCGATTTTGAAACGTGAGGTGTAAGGCACAGTTTTAGAATAAAAAGACTGTCGCACTCGTCAAACCGAAATCAAAAAAATATGTGCAATTCTGATTTGTTGGCAAGTTCAGCGTAATACTGCTTTTGCTAGACCCAATATTAGTAAAGTCTCCTAGGCTGAGTCCTGTGAGTTCTCTTACACTTTCGGTGAAGACAGAATGGGCCTTGGCGGCAATCGGCAGTAGGTAGGCAAAAAAATAATTCTCGCTCAAACTAGAGATGTATACTTATTTCTCTTTCAAGCCACGATGCTGTTAGAGTGGGTGAGTGAGTGAGTGAGTAAGTGAGTAAGGTGTTGTCGCGCGGCAGGTACACGCTGACGTCGCTGCAGACGGGCGCGTGCATCGGTTTCGCGCGGCGGCGGCAGGCGCGCGGCGGCCGCACGGCGCTGGACCGGCTGCACACGCCGCTGCACCGCCTGCTCACCGCGCTGCCCTACCGCTTCCTGCACGCCGCCAGCCACCGCGCGCGCGCCACCGAGGAGGTACACGCGCGAGCGCAAACAAGCACGCACACGCACGGGCGCACACACAACACACACACACACACACAATAAGCACACACACATTATGCTTAACTGTACGTTTAAAACATTAATTAAAAGCCTAACTTGTTAATCAGATGGAGCTCGAAACCAAAGCTCATCGAACGCCCAAGGTTCTGACGAGGGACTACGAGACGAGCGGGAAGTACCCCTGGCGGAGAGCGTTCAGGAAACACCTGGCCAAGAACGCGGACCTGTGGATCTGTCCGGTGAAGCCCGGCCACGATGACGTCACGCCTCCAGCGGACCTCAAGCNACATTAATTAAAAGCCTAACTTGTTAATCAGATGGAGCTCGAAACCAAAGCTCATCGAACGCCCAAGGTTCTGACGAGGGACTACGAGACGAGCGGGAAGTACCCCTGGCGGAGAGCGTTCAGGAAACACCTGGCCAAGAACGCGGACCTGTGGATCTGTCCGGTGAAGCCCGGCCACGATGACGTCACGCCTCCAGCGGACCTCAAGCTCGTGAAGGCAGACCTCGAGGGGCTCGACGAAGTGAAGCCGGAGGATGTGCAAAGTGATATTAGTGATAGCGCCAGGACTATAGACGGAGTCGTGCGGGAGAACCTGAGGAACGAGATGAGGAAGCGGGCGCACAGCACCAGCAGCGACAGCAGCTACGACTCCGACCAGAGCCTGTACCCCGTCGAGAGGGAGTTCGAGAGCTTCATCAACGAGGTCAACGCTGATTGGTAAGCTCATTTGTGGGGTCTATTATTGATTGAAAAGTCGTCGTGGCCTAAAGGATAAGACGTCCGGTGCATTCGTGTGTAGCGATGCACCGGTGTTCGAATCCCGCCGGCAGGTACCAATTTTTCTAATCAAATACGTACCTCCTATATACGACCTCTTGTGAGTCCGCGCGGGTAGGTACCACCGCCCTGCCTATTTCTGCCGTGGAGCAGTAATGCGTTTCGGTTTGAAGGGCGGGGCAACCGTTGTAACTATACTGAGACTTTAGAACTTATATCTCAAGGTGGGTGGCGCATTTACGTTGTAGATGTCTACCAGTAACTATTTAACACTAGGTGGGCTGTGAGCTAGTCCACCCATCTAAGCAATTAAAATAGATATACAAAATTTTGTTTAAAAAATTATTAAAGCATTTGAGTTATTAATACGCTTTTATTAGCTTCAGACGTAGGTATGTATGTTTGCAACGGAATCTTTGAACATGATTTGGACCCCCTTCAAAACGTCGGATTAACTCGAAATTTGGTATACTTATTAAGGACCGATGACAATACAATATTCAAAAAAAATTGAAAAAAAAATTGGAAGATATTGAAATTCAACTAAAAAATGAAAACTAAATAATAGTTTAAAAAAAAACTAACAAAATACGCTTTTATAGAAATCCAACTAAAAAATAGAAAATAAATTTTAATAAATTTGAATTAAAAATAGTGTAAGAAAAAACGATTTTATTGTAAAAAAGCGTGGGGTGCTTGTATGGTATTAGTGGTTATAAATATTTTATGAACAGATATAAGTAGAAGGGTTATTTTGATAATATTAAAATTTATTTTCTATTTTTTTGTTGGATTTTCTATAGAAGCGTGTTTTGTCAGTTTTTTTAAACTATTATTTATTTTATTACTTTAATGCAGTATGAAAATATATGCTCGTGACAATTAAATAAAAACTATAAAAATTGACGTACATCCTCGTTATTTCCGTTTCCGTAGGTTACATTTCCGACCGAAAACTCCGCCGCCCTCGTCACCAGTGAGTGAGCGGCACGAGGAGCAGTTCCCGCTGTCGCTGGACACCGCCATCTCCGTGGAGCTCCGCGCCGCCGGGCCGCCGCCCCCCGACGCGCCCGACGCCTTCGTCACCGCAGACTTCACGCTCAGGGGACTCGCGCACGCGAGCCGGCACGATCTTACGGGTACGTACGTCCTTGGCTTGTATGTTAATGGAAACTAATTACAGCGGACTTTTTGACGTGGAACGCGAGGAGTGAAGTCGTATGATTTGTTTTATTATTATTATTATTATTTATTTTTTTGCTTCGATGGGTGGTGTTATGTGGTTACCGGAGCCCATAGACATCTACAACGTAAATGCGCCACACACCTTGAGATATAAGTTCTAAGGTCTCAAGTTTAGTTACAACGGCTCCCCACCCTTCAAATCGAAACGCATTACTGCTTCACGGCAGAAATAGGTGGGGTGGTACCCGCACGGACTCACAAGAGGTCCTACCACCAGTAAGTATTTTGATTATTTAGTGCTTCTTCAGCTTTAAATGTGTAATAACGGTGGTTTATTAACTGTTTAGTATCTGTGAAAGTGCACAAATGTGGGAAAATGAAACAAATCCGCTGAACGTAACTTCTCGGGATCCTCCAAAAAGTTCACTGAAAAAGTCTCAGTAAATGACCACCATTTTACTGAGATTATATTTCATCCCATATCATCTCATCTCATTTCATTTCGTTTTCATTTCATTTCATGCCATGTTTCATATAAAAAAGTTTTCACTAAAATTAAAATAACACTTGACCTTAAAGGTCTTAGTTACCAGGTCATAAAATCCCTTAAAAAAAACTAATTGCAGTGTAAAACGAACTCACCGTCACGGGACGGGCGGCACTAGCGTAGCTATAGTCGACGCATTATGAACTGAGGCTTCGGGTCATAATCATAAATCATATTTGTCAGTCTGTCTCGCTCGCACTTACAGTTCTCATGGAGAGATGTAGGGATGTGCGTAAGAATTGTATTGGTGCATGTCGATAACGGGACCGATACGAAATCGATATGTTAAATTATGTCAAGTATTAATAGGAACTAGGGGTCCCCTGGTGGTCGAAATTCGACTATAATTAATTGAAATTATAAGTTGTACACTTATAATGGTTCTAATGTCAAAGACTATTATTACAAGACTCTCACTCAAACCATCACGCCATATACCAGTTTTGTTGTATGTTCCACCCCAATCTCCTCATCGGTTCGGAGTAGGCACGTTTCATGTTGCCAGGTTTAGTCGCCAATCTGCCCCCTGCCCCACGAAAACTTGGCTACCACCGTAACCAGGAATAATGAAGTTCCCGGGGACTCGAGGGGTTTTTTGTTTGTGTCTGTCATTTTGGGGGGTCGTCATACGGGCTGGTGGTCGCAGATTGCTGTTATCATATTTTGCGGTAGGCAGCGGCTTGGCCCTGCCCCTGGCATTGCTGAAGTCCATGGGCGACGGTAACCACTCACCATCAAGTGGGCCGTATGCTCGTTTGCCTACAAAGCCAATAAAAAAAAACTCTGAGACTGCTACTGCCCATTATCTGGGTAACCCCTTAGTCGCTTACCTTAAAATTCTCACTATAAGAGATGGGATGTTATTGTTACGCACTGGGGTTCACGATAAATAAAATTCCACCAAAGTACAACTAAAAACCGTATTCAACACTTAGAACACACTTCACAAACACTTCAAAATTCTCAATTCGCGTCTTCCGCTTCGGTTCCGGTGATCCGTTCGCTGTTTCGCTTCGAGTAGTTCCGATTGCTGGCTGACTGCGTGCCATCTCGGCAACGCTTTTATAGCCGATATCTCATCCCTAGAATTATTGAGAATATTCCACACATCTCTAGTAGTATCTCCCGCTATCTGACAATAGATGGCGTTGTACTTCTCGAGCATTCTAGGTGCTACTAGATCCTTCGACATTCGCTCGACTATTCGGCGACACTCTTACCGGCGTAACATTATTACCACTGCGTCACACGGTCGGTTCAGGGAGACCTTTCCCCATCAGTGGACGTGGGCCAACCCTTAAATTCCGAAAGACAGTCACTTCTTATTAATTAAATTATTGCAGTGATTAAATTTTTAATTGTTTTTTAAATATTACAGGTTTAACTGAAACGCAAATGCAGAGTATTCTATTAGAGACTGATCTCAAGGTGTTACCAGACGAGGAAACCACAAGTATCGAGCAACGAAGATCAAGTTCTGGGAAGGTGAGATTTATGGATTTTTTGTAGCAGAGTTGTTGACTAGCGAATTATGTATACTACAGCCGTAGCGTTTAAAAAAAGACCAAAAATCTATCAACTTATTTATTATGGAATTTTAATTATTACAATTGATTAATACTAAGATAGTAATGGACTTGGACGATGTCAGTACCGAAGTGGCACCAGCGGGCCCCGGCCTGGGTCAATCGCATACTTTTCCATGAACATGGAATGAGGTTGCTGCGTCGACAATTTGTAGTCACGCCCTACTGGCAAAATGCATGTACCTAGGATACGTAACAAGCATTATCATAGATAGACCATAGGCTTGCCGTGACCACCCTGGGACGCGGAGTCTGAGTTTCGACTGCATAGTGCGACGGCTGCGCCCGCGGTCCTCGGTACTGATCCGTGCGAGCCCACACTATGGCCTTCTATCAGTAAATTATATTTTAACCAGCCTGTGCTAAATAAATCATGCTGCAAGAGATACCAACGTCCGTGTGGACGTATACACATCACTACACATAGCATAAAACAAAATCGCTTTCTCTGTCCCTATATCCCTATGTAAACTATGGAAAGGATTTTGATGCGGTTTTTTTTTATAGATATAGTGATTGAAGAGGAAGGTTTATATGTATACTAACATCCATTAAATAGTGGAGAAATGAATAATAAATTACAGTTTCCGAAGCGAATCGAGGGCGGGTCGCTAGTGAATCAATAAGGCTACGTTCATAATTCGATGATCGACCAGACCCGGCACCACGCATCGGCGAGTCGATAATAACTCTATGGGGCTCCTTACTGCTAAACCACAGCCACGTGTCACAATCGACATTACAATGAAATTCAAAAATTGAAATTAATCTATATATTGTTTATATTACAGACGGATTCATTCGGTTCATCCTCGATAACTGTTAGTTCCACGTCCAAAGAACGCATATACGTGGAGATGAAGGAGGTGCCTCGTCCCCCGTCCCCCTCGCCCTCTCCGCCCCCCGCTCCCGTCCGGTCGGCGGCCCCCGCCCTGGCGCCCCTTCCCGCGCCGTCCCCCAACCCCCCGCCCTCCCCGGCGCCCCGCAGCGACAGGAAATTAGATCCGAAGCCCGAGCCTGCGCCCGTGCCCACTCACCACATCATTGTCGAAGAGGTTAATGAGGTATGTGCCACGGCAGAATATGCTTTTTATGTTTTAAAAAAAAACAACTGATGAATGAAAATCGATAGTGGAATGTCCGGTCATCGTTCTCGTCGAACCCGTCGCTTGCGAGTAAGGGCTCGACCCACAGACACAGTCCACTGAGTTTCTCGCCGGATCTTCTCAGTGGGGCGCGGTTCCGATCCGGTGGTAGATTCTGCGAAGCACGGCTCTTGCTCAAATTCAAATTCAAATTCAAATTCAAATTCAAAATCATTTATTTCAACTTGGATGTCATCAAAAACACACTTGTTGAATGTCAAAATGTAAAAGAAAATGTTAACTCTACCACCGGTTCCAAAAAAAGCCACAGTCCTGAGAAGAACCGGCGAAACAAACTCAGCGGGCTTTTTTTTTTTTTTTTTNTTTTATGTTTAAAAAAAAAAAAAAGCCAACTGATGAATAAAAATCGATAGTGGAATGTCCGGTCATCGTTCTCGTCGAAACCGTCGCTTGCGAGTAAGGGCTCGACAAGTAAATTAACCCACAGACACAGCCCACTGAGTTTCTTGCCGGATTTGTCTCAGTGGGTCGCGTTTCCGATCCGGTGGTAGATTCCGCGAAGCACGGCTCTTGCTAGGGTTCGTGTTAGCAACGTCGTCAGGTTTGAGCCCCGTGAGCTCACCTACTAGTTAAGGTTCCGTTGAAATATGCTATGTGTCAATCGTGACAAAAGTTTGTAGAGGGAACGCGACCCTGGCTGGGTCTCCTGCCAAGTAGGTATACCCTCTCGTTCGACCCACAGCCCTAATATGTCACCTTCATCATCACCTTGGATTTCTTCCGTTCTGTGATAGCTACTGTCCCTAATGTAACCTCTAGAGTTGATTTATTCACGTGACCAATATTAAAATGAGGCATAAATGTTAATTTCTTTTCTTTTTGATATGACATGACATTTATTAGACATTCTTGTTAATATTTTAACAATTATTACTGTTTTACTTGTTAAATTTGAATCTCAAAGTATGTTTTCATTAGGTATTCTCTTTTTTTATTATTATTATTGTATTCCATCTTCGAGCCGATGAATTGACAATGTTATGTACGCCATTATTGTCACATGCATCGGGCCATAAATTAAATAGTTTAAATTATTTTCAATGTTAAATGTTTAATGATGTGGCAGTACTTTTTTAAATAAATTAATGAGACCAATTTTCAAACAGGTTCCTATAAAAATGGAGAAGAAACCCAAAAAGGAGCCACACAACAACGCCGTCGAAGAACTCCAGTACCCGCACGGCGTCCAACTGAAGACAGTTCAAACGAAACATTCGCCCCTGAAGAAGCACATCATAACCGCGCAGAGACGTCCCAGCGAGCTCGCGGCTGCCAGTGTCAGTGCCGGTGTCGTGACCAGCGCCGGCGTGTCGGTGGCCAGCGCCGCCACCTCCGCCGCCGGACAGCAGGACGCTCCGGCTCCTCAGATACTAACCGTCGCGGTCTCCGACAGCCTCAAGGTGACTATTATTGTGACTTCTGTGCGCTTAGTGCGAGTTTTTTAACGTTCTCGATAACGTAAAAGTTGGCTCATATTTGTATGGAATGGGATCGTTTGCGTACGTTTGCCGCTAGGGGCGCTGATCCAACTGCGTACAAAATTGCGTTAACTTTAACGTTATCGAGTACGTTAAAAACTCACACTAAGCACACTGTTGTGAGCTAAGGATTTTTTCATTATTTTTTTTATTGCTTACTAGCTGACCCCGCAGACTTCGTAGTGCCTTAATCGATAAATAAAAGACCTATACTTTTGTATAAAATAAACTTAAAACAATCAAAAGGAATCCGTCCGACGGGGGGGACACATCAAAGGGAAAACAAAATTGTTATTTTTATTTAATACCGAGCATTTTCATATTTATCTACCTTTTAAACTTTCTCTGGACTTCCACAAATAATTCAAGACCAAAATTAGCCAAATCGGTCCGGCCGTTCACGAGTTTTAGCGAGACTAACGAATATATATATTACTTATAGTTATATATGTGGTTGCAGGTCCGTCTCCAGAACCACATAGTGCCGGGGCAGGCGGGCGTGCTGGTGCAGAACGGGCCCTACTCGCAGGTGGCGGTCGCGCTGCCCGTGCAGTCCGTGCACACCGTGCAGGCCGCGCGCGACAGCGGTGCGTACACACCCCGCCATTCTACACTGGACAAATCTTTTTTTTTTTTTTTTCCTACCTATTCTGATAGCCTTGAGAGGCTATTTCAGCTTCGTCCTGACGTATGCAGATGAGCTCACGGGGCTCAAACCGGAGTGGTGCTAACATTGACTCACTAGCAAGAGCAGTGCTTCGCAGAATCTACCATCGGATTGGAAATGCGACCCACTGAGAAAATCCGGTGAGAAACTCAGTGGGCTGTGTCTGTGGGTTAATTCACTATTCGAGCCCTTGGTCGCAAGGGACACCTTTTAAGCGCCCTCCAAAACTACTAAATATATTCTTCTTATTGAATTCTATTCTTCTGTGGTTTGTTATTTGTCCCTCGCATTCGCGGGATATTTTACTCCGAACATATAAAAGTCGAACACACCACTTCAACAATATCTTATAATGTGTACAATATTAAAATGTAAAAGTAAAGTAAACAACGCTAGGGCACCAGAAGGCACAAATTAAAACTTTTTTACAATCAACTTAAACCCGTAGTATGACGTCACGGGACACCTGCGCGTTCTGGAACTTCGATCGCGACCGAATGTTACACGTTACACTTCCCTAATAGCTTGAGAAAAATGAGATCAGTAAAATAATTAGTTATGGTATTGTCGGCAGGCGTGTCGAGCGTGTCGAGCGGGCGGCGCGTGGGCGGCGGGCTGGTGCAGCTGGGCGCGCACAAGGTGGTGGGCGGGCAGCCCGCGCCGCTCGTGGTCACGCACGCGCACTCGCCCGGCAAGCTGAAGGTGCTGCACGCGCACTCGCTCACGCACGAGCAGCGCGCGCAGCTCCTCGCGCACAGCCGCGCGCAGCCGCTGCCCGCCGTCGTGTCGCTCGCCGCGCTGCACGACAAGCGCCCCGCGCCCGCCGTCGCGCAGCTCTTCGAGATCAAGGGCGGCCAGCTCGTCAACGTGGTGCGCCCCGCGCCGCCAGACAAGAAGCGCCAGTACGTCACCGGACTCAGCGTCGACGGGCGCCAGATCGTGCGCGCGCCGCTGCAACTCCGCCGCGCTCAGCTGCCGCCGCAGCGCACCGTCGTCGCCAACGTGCTGCACAAGGCCGTGCTGCCCAAGCCCGGACAGAAGATCGCCATCTCCGCGCCCGCCCGCCCCGCGCTCGCCTTCACCGCCGCACACCTCAAGGGCCGGCACGCGCGCCTGCTGCACCCCTGCCTCGTCAACGACAGCAGCGCCGCCTCCGCAGCCGCCTCCTCCGCCTCCCCGGCGACGACGCCCCTCGCCCCCCTCGCGCCCACCGCACCCGCCGACGGAGACCGCCGCACGGCCGACACGCTGCCCATGGAGGTCACGTGACAAACGACCGACACACCTCTGACGCTCCCGGGCTTCGACCGCGAGACCGATGCTGATGATGCAAATAGTAAAAAGGTCAATACTGTCACCTCCGGCCGCCGGACTGAACCGCCGGCCCCTGGGAGCGATCTCATCCGCCACGACGACGACGCCGGCAGTTGTAAATTTTATAAAATTGAGACACAACACAATCTGCCCGTAAAACCTGCAGTCCGCAAGATCGTTCCGCACACAATCAGACATAGTGAAGTCGCAGACGTCGAGGCTGTGCCGCAAACGTCAAGCCATTGTGCGGCGGCCGCCCACGCCGAGGCCGACGATGACGTCATATTTGTCGACGAACGCTCCGTGATAGAGACCGAAGAGGTGATACTGGAGGACGGCGACGAGACGACAGCGGAGGCGGGTCCCGTCGCCGGCGAGGACTCGACCGGAGCCGCCCGGCCCACCGACCTGCAGGGGAACATACTCGTCGTGCCGCAGGATGTCGAGAGCACGTTAGACGAAAAGGCTTTATCGATATTAGTCTTCTAGCGAATGCAGTGAGCGCGATGCGTCCGTCTCGCGCTCCGCCGATAAAGCGTGCGTGATAAAGTTAATCATTACTGTATGCTGGGAGCGCGGACTCTCATTTTGTTATTGTCATTAGATTGAGTCGCGTGCGTAATGAGTACTTATTTATTGAAAGAAGAGTGATCTGCTTTTGTCTTCAGTGTGCTTAGTTCGAGTTTCTTAACGTTCTCGATAGCGTTAAAGTTAACTCAATTTTGTTTGCAATTGGAACAGCGCCCCTAGCGGCAAACGCACGCAAACTGAACCCATTTCCCCATTTGACGGCTGTCTGGTGTAGTGGTAAGTGACATGGTCACTACACAAGGGGGTCGCGGGTTCGAATCCCGCCAAGGGAAGATATTTGTATGATAAATATAAATGTCTTTTCCAGGGTTATGGATGTATATTAAATATATGTATGTGTATAATAAAAATCTTACATTTATTTCTGTTATCTGGTACCTGTAACACAAGTTCTTTACGAACTTATCACGGGACCAGTTAACGTGGCGTGATTGTTAGTAAATATTTATTATTATTATATTATTATTATTTCATACAAATATGAACTAACTTTTACGGTATCGAGTACATTAAAAAACTCGCACTAAGCACACTGCTCTTTACTCTGAAAACTCTGAAACTTATTTGTTAACTTTATCAGGCAGGTAGGCTTTTTACTATAATTTCAAGCTTGTAAATAAAACGAAAACAAAAAAAAAAAACAATTTGTATAAAGAATTGTGATATTAAAAATAATGTAAACGAGTTTTGTAAGTTTTTTTTTTGTTTTTTTTTTTTCTTTGATTCACGTTCGGCCGCCGTGCTCGCGATGAGGCGGNATTGTTAGTAAATATTTATTATTATTATATTATTATTATTTCATACAAATATGAACTAACTTTTACGGTATCGAGTACGTTAAAAAACTCGCACTAACACACTGCTCTTTACTCTGAAAACTCTGAGACTTATTTGTTAACTTTATCAGGCAGGTAGGCTTTTTACTATAATTTCAAGCTTGTAAATAAAACGAAAACAAAAAAAAAAACAATTTGTATAAAGAATTGTGATATTAAAAATAATGTAAACGAGTTTTGTAAGTTTTTTTTTGGTTTTTTTTTTTCTTTGATTCACGTTCGGCCGCCGTGCTCGCGATGAGGCGGCGGCCGCGGCGACGCGTCGTTTCAGTGAAATATTTTAAATTTAAATACAAGGAATTATTTTAAGTAAATAATCAAATTATTTTAGTTATTTATTTAACTAAGCAGTTTTTTTTTTTTTTTTAGTATTTCATTTGGCGCGATTGTAATGCCATCTCTGCATTTTTTATAAATTTGCCGCAAAATTTATACTAAGCAAAGCTTAATGTTTGCGGTTTAATTTTATTTAGCGAAATTATTGTCGATTTAGCAAAATAACTTGTCAGACTAAATCATCATATTGTGTGAATGTAGGATTGTTCCGAAGAAAACTTCAAAAAATATCATTCGAAAACAATTGGCATATAATTGTTGGCTGTGTTTGTGACATTGTCGTGAAACATGAGTGTAGGGAGTCACATTTAAACACACGAACTTCATGAAATGTCAAAAAATATTAGCAAACGCTTGCTAATGAGGAATAATGACTTAAACATCAAATATATTGTCTAAAAGTATTACTAACAGATCCTATGGTCCTTGTGGCTGATATCTAAATAACAAAATCTATTTTATTAAAATAAATAAAAGATAAAGACAAATTCTTCTGAAATATTCGTTAGATAATATTTAGAGCATTAGACTCGATACTATGCAATCAAAATAGATATGTCAATGACCTCCGGCTGCCAAATATTATTGTATTCAATAAATATATTTTGCGAACCTAGTAAATGAATGATGTGTGGGTATTTCAAAAGTACATTACCCCGTTACAGGCAGCCGGAAGCCATTAACAAAACCCCCACTAAAAATGTTTAACCGTTATGGGATAGCCATGATTTTTTTAAAGCACTACTAAATCGTAACGTTTATCAGACAACTATAACATATATTGAACGCTAATGTGGTTGGCTGGTGCATATCAAATTTTGATCGCATAGTGTCGCGTGGTTGTTGCTTACGATAGATAAACGATTTGTAATCGGAAACCTTTGTATTCATTCACGATATCGATATTTATCGATTTAGAGAAACAGAAATTGTGAAGTGCACCTACCTAATGGTGAAGAACGAAACGTAGTTTGAAATTTAGTTTAAAGTAACTAGCAACACCAAAGGCGACTAAAACGTGTTTTAAAAACGGCAACACTGATTTTAATGGAAATTGGTTTAAAATGTGTTAACTTCTCTAAACTAAGCAAGCATACGAGGGCGTAAAAGTTTCCTTGAAGGGGTAGCATTTTTTTCAATTTCATTTCAGAATTTTTTAAGGTTTCGCTTGCCATTTTATTCTTAGTATAATTTCCGAGCACCTCGTCGCAAGGAAAACCGGCTAAGCTCACTTTAACTTCCAGATCAAATTCGATGTGGTTCGTCAATAATTGAAAGCTCATAAATGTCTTTACCCTAAATGTATTGGACAGAGGTTATACAGTTAGACCGCTGAAGTTTTTTAAAACGCTTCCTTCAAATCTGATAATAATTATCATTAAAAAAATTATATAAATAGGTGTTTTAATACTTGCTGATATCGAAACCGCCAATAGACATTTGTCTAGCAAATAATATTATAAGTAACTTTCAAAGATCATGTAAATATTTATATCGGTGTTCATGATTTAATATAAAATACGCTGTGTAGGTGTTGTTACTAGTTATATTAAAAATTCAATTCACCTCTAGTAAATGTTTCAAATAGTTTCTTTTCATATTTTTTTTCTAAAATTTAATCTCACCAAATCCAAATATTGTTGTAACTTTCATTAAATTGTATTAGGGGATTATAAATGTATCGTATGTAATAATAATGTTTCAGTCTTCATTGTATCTCTGTATGTTCATAGTGGGAGATTATTATCGTATTAATTAATCGGGTTTAAAAAAAAGAAAGTAATGTGTTCTGAAAATGATAGGAATTTGATATGACAAAAATGTGAATACTCTAAACTCTATTGAAGGAAATTAGAATGACAGTTTTGACGTCTGTCAAAAGATAGAAAATGGCGGATTCGGGTCGGCCATTTTGAAATTTGTTAAGAATGACACACAGTGAGAATATCAGAATAGTTCGCGTACGTATTTTTAGAAAAGTTTTTTCCGTTTAATTTCCCCTCCCAGTAAAGTTGTAGTGTCCTATATTAATCTTAATTTATTCTTTTGGGGGCAAGGCTGTTTTAACTACACTCTGTATTGTAACTAGATAGTTTCGGCTGCGGGAATTTGTCTCCTATCAACAACATTATTATTATTATTATTAACAAAATTAGGAACACATGAAGTTCCGCCATCTTTTTGCTCTAACCAGACTGTATGGTTTAATAATCGAATTTCGTATTGTTTGGAATTGCGTCTATATTATTCGCCTTAACAATTAATTTCACGAAAGACGGGAGTCCCCAGTCAGGTTTTTTTTCACCTGTAATATGACTACTAAAATCTAATTCATACTAATGTTATCTTTATATATTGTAGTTGGAATGTCCCGTGTCCGATAAAACTAATAGACGTTGTAAGTAGAGACAATGTGTACGTAGATAGTAATTAATCATTGTTTATTGGATGTTTATGAAAAAAAAAAGTGGCTGTTTTTCTGTTAATGCAAATATAATACATATATATTTAAGATATGCATGCCAGACTATATTGATAACTAAAGCGCAGGAACATTATTGATAGCAATAACAGAAACTTCAGCCATATTTAATAAGATGTCAATAAAAGTAATTTCTTTTTTGGAATCCAAAACATTTGTCCTTTTAGGTAATACTTGTGAAAAAAAATTCAAAAAAAAGATGTTTAAAAAATAATGTGATTTATGTGTATATTATCTAAATGTAAACTAAAACATTATGGTTTAATCTAGCTAATGCGTTATCGACGTGTTTACGCAGTTTTGCATACTTAAAAAAAATTCGTGAGCTATTTTTCATATCAGCTCAGAATGATGATCTGCTAAGAAAAAGAACTCGCAAGCAAAAAAAAAAACGTATGATTATAAACAGTTTTAACTATGTCTATACATGTATGTAATTAGTAAGTATCATATACTGTACAAAAAGGCTGCAAGTATAAAAAATGTAAAAAAAAAAANATTTCAAAAAAAAGATGTTTAAAAAATAATGTGATTTATGTGTATATTATCTAAATGTAAACTAAAACATTATGGTTTAATCTAGCTAATGCGTTATCGACGTGTTTACGCAGTTTTGCATACTTAAAAAAAATTCGTGAGCTATTTTTCATATCAGCTCAGAATGATGATCTGCTAAGAAAAAGAACTCGCAAGCAAAAAAAAAAAAACGTATGATTATAAACAGTTTTAACTATGTCTATACATGTATGTAATTAGTAAGTATCATATACTGTACAAAAAGGCTGCAAGTATAAAAAATGTAAAAAAAAAAAAATTGGCCTCATTTATTTTGAG